CCATCAATCGCATCTGGTGCAAAATGCTTTTCACAAGTAGGACACTGTTTTGGTTTCTCAGGTCCCAAGGATTCATAAATATCAAAGGCATAAATGGCCGAAGCAATGGCATTCTTGCCGATAAAAACCGACACATCTTGATTGTATTGTGTCCAAAGAATAATTCTAATCGCTCCTAAAGGAATATTGATCAAAAGAATATAGGAAATTGAGTACATGACCTTGAAGGAGGCAGAGCGAACTTGACCTTTGACAATAGCACTTAATTCTAGTAATGCAAGAGTTGGTAGAAAAAAGTTGATGCATGCAAAAACAATGATAGCATTTTCCAGTCCAACTGGAAGTTTCAGCTCTATGTCATCCATGAACAAGATTTCCAAGATGTCGATGCTGTCGAGGAGATCCAGTGTTACTCCAGCAGAGACCTTGTCAATGTAGACTTTTCTTTGAGAATAGGGTTTAGAATCGTGGTGTGAATTCACCAGCAGAAGGAACAGCATTGGCGTGATACACAGTGCAATCTTAAGTATATTCTGACCAAATACCTTAGCATCGCCAAGCTGATCTGCGAAGCGTTTAAAAATCACCGCTACTTCAGGTACCAGGGTGATCGCTACATAGGCAAACCACGCGATGAAAACATACGGAATCTCGTCTGCGTAATCTCCTGGGTCTTTATCACGGCCGTCGACCTTCTCCTTTTTGAATCTTCTTCGAACCTTTTTCAACTTGGAAAGGAATTTTCTTTTAGCTAGGAACATAACTCCAATCCAAATAGCAACAACGATGATATCAGTTGCGACGAATCCCAGCGAGTTTGTATCATGATGTTCGACAAGATAAACATCCAAAATGGCGCCCTGTAGTATTAATAGAATAATACAGACTGCTTTTCCCACGATTTCGAAGTCTAAGCAGCACCCCATGTCCCTGAAATCAAGCAAGGTTAAAATTAAACTTTAGCTGGTGATGGTCTCCCGAAAGCTAAAAGGAGCCGCGTTTTGGTAAACGAAAATTGATCCGACTGAACAAATTCGTGACTTGTTCGGGCAATTAAACAGCTCGATTTCATTCAAAAGACATTAGAAAATGTAATTTTCCCGTTCCTTACCTTCGATTCTTTAAGGGTCAACGATCTTAGTATGCAATTAATCTTCTCTGGATAATTTTTGAGTGACGATTTTCAAGAAAAGACGATCAAAAGATCGCCATGTTTATATTAGACCAAGGGGTGTAGGCCGAGTAAAACCTGGGAAAGAGTCACAGGAAACCTACGATTTTAGAGTTGCCGTTTGTCTTAGAAAGAGACTGATTGTGATCAGCTGCCAATCAAGGTAACGAACGTTTGGAGCCTTACCCCTTTAAAAATCGATAATAAAAAGTTTAAGACTGTAAAATTCTGCTTTTACTAAGTATCTTTTAGCCTCCCCGCAGACGTCCTTTGGGGTTCGTTTACCACGGAATGAATGCGTGACAAACGAACCCCAAAGGACGTCTGCGGGGAGGCTAAGTATCTTTATGTTTTTAGATTACGGAAGTAATGAGCCGATTATTTGACAAACAGAATGTATACTTTTCATTTCCGTTTCGCGTACTGGAGAAGTCTATAAAATGTTGAGAATCAGTTAACACCTACCAGATCAGTAATCACGACATGAATAAAAAATTATGGTCATACTGGTTTAGAGGATCTTATATCACTGTCGTTTTCTAGTGTCAGGCATCATGAAAGGATACACGTCAAAGTTAATAAAACTCTTCGTCTCTATTGTCTCCTTTGTCGTGATTTCTTTTACCAAAAAAAAAAAAAAAAAAAAAAAAAAAAAAAAAAAATACAACCAAACAAAAAAAAAAAAAAAATTTTTTTTTTACCGAACACCAAACCCTTCAAAAAAAAAAATAAAAAAAAAAAAAAAAATTTAATAAAGAAAGATTGGGACAGAGAGAAGAAAGGTGGGGGGGGGAGGTGTCGTTAAAAAGAAAAAAAAAAAAACAAAATAGTTGAGAGAATTTGATAATAGATCAAGGCAGTTTCTCTAGGGTGATCATTTTATTTATTCTCATAACGTATCGCTTGACAGTGTATGGATATTGTTAGGAGAAAATTGATCTTGGTCACTATTGGGACTTAAAGGGCTAATGTACATTACTACACATTCAGCAGAAAACAGTGACAATGAAGTTAGCATCAGCCATTTTAAAACCCTGAGCGTATCCCTATCAAAATGATGCTAACTCTTGATTGTCTTTCAATAAAAGCTTGATAATATACTGCTAAATTTTCCATATTTACAAGAAACTAGTACACAACCTTAACAGGACTGGACTGCACTGCTAGGAATGCCGGCTGTGTCACCTACTGGAAAAAATTTTCATGTAATCACCAGGCTTACAGTGCGACTACAATAACTGGGGCCACCTAGACAAAGTTGACCAGTTCGATTTCAGGAAAATAACAATACATTCTGAGAAAATTAGTTGTCCATCATATTTACCACGTAAAGAAATAAACCTGGATCAAAATCAACCAACTACAACCTACAGATGTGACCTTTTGAACCCGCTATAGAAAGCATGTGTTTCCCGAGAGGTCTGTTGGAGTGAGTAATGGAAGCGAAAAACTTCAACAATAGTTATATATTTTAGACTTGCGGTCGCATGTTAATGCAAGGCACTGCAATAGAAGCAAGGAAATTGCTGCTAGATGACGAAATAACAGCTCGTGTCAAAGAAATATGTCTCATGGGTGTTGTATGCAAAGTTTCAAATAGAGACATTGTCTGGTGAAACATTTTGCCTTCCTAAAATACTGCTATCAATATTAAATTTTGTGCTCCGAGTAACTTATTGTTTCTCTACACACTGCTGATTGGCCCACAACCGACGTTCTTGGAATGTACTGTTATTTTCCTATAATCTGATTGGTCAACTTTGTCTAAGTGGCCCTGGTTACAGAAGCAATTCCAGTCCTGGCAGTATGCAGGATGTTGGCAACATGAAACTAGTTTAATGGTCTTAGCTCCAACAAGTCTCCTGAAGCTCCGGGGGGGGGGGGGGGGGCCCCCC